TTTTGACTTGGTCGGCCATCAAACAAGGACACAAACCATTTTGGTTTTCCTGTTCGGAAGACATGATATCCCATCAGCAGTCCAAAAACAACTCCACATCCATAGCCTAACCCCACAACTCTCCAGCCAAATCTCCACAACTCATCTTTTTCTTGGAAGGAGCTCGGCGGTGTCCCCATTCCATCACAAGATTTTGACAGTGGTGTTCCACACAGTCCAAGGTTTCCTTCATAAGAACCATTTTCAAAGGTGTTGAACTGACTGCCCTGTGGTATGTGTCCGACAAGATGATTATTTGAAAGATTCAATACAGAAAGTTGTGTCAAAGATACCAATTCATTTGGAATTTTCCCTGCCAGCTTGTTGGAAGAGAGATCCAACGATTCCAGATTCGTCAAATTCCCTAGTGACGGTGGGATATGACCAGTAAGGTTGTTATGAGAAAGATTTAGCCCTTTGAGAGAACTAAGCTTCCCAATAACATCTGGAATTTCTCCCTCAAACTTATTATTTGAGAGATGAATATTACTGAATAAGGTCAAGATTCTCTGCAGCTCATAGTCGAATCCCTTCCATGTCACAACCACTGAATATTGATAAGAACTGACATTCTTGCATTCAGCAGAACCCTCGTCTCTATAAAGGTCCATCATAGCTTTAAAATTTTCGAAGTACCGAACAGGCAAATGACCAACAAAATCATTGTTGGAGAGGTCCAAAACTCGTAACTTGAGAAAAGATGGACTTTCTTTGGTGCTCTGCACAGAACCGTGGAACTTGTTGGACCTTAAGACAAGCACTTGAAGGTCTGGTAGAGATTCCAACCAGTGAGGGAATGTATCCTCTATGTTGTTGTTGCCAACGTCTAGAACCTCTAACTTGCTACAATTCACCAAAGACCTTGGTAATAGGCCGTCCATTTGATTTCCATATAAGTTGAGATTTCGTAATCCACAGCCTTCTGGAAACCCAAATGGTATATTTCCATCAAAGTGATTGGCCTGCAAATCTAACACTGAGAGAAACTTAGGAAGACAATTTGGAATCTTTCCAATTAAATTGTTATGAGAAAGGTCAAGAATTCTGAGATCATCCTTTTCACATATCCATTCGGGAATATTTCCGTTAATGCTATTTTTGGATAGCACTAGGTTTTGCAGACCACCTGAATGTCTTAAGAAATTGGGGAATTCACTCAAGTTACAGGAAGACAAGAAAACATCAGTTAGTTTGGGTAATGTGAAGTTGGCATAGACACTCATTCTCAAGGACAGATTATTGTATGAAAGAATGATGGTTTCCAGATTTTGAAGCCCCAAGAACATGTCCGATACTACTACTAAATCACTGAGATGATTTGACGATAAATCTAGATAACTAAGATTTACAAAATTAACAATTGAGCTAGGAATTGGGCCCTGGAGTTTATTATTTGACAAATCTAGTTGTATGAGTGATCTTTGCTGAAATTGACTTATTTGACCTTGAAATTGGTTATGATTGAGATACAAGCTCTTTACAAAAGGGAGGGTGAAAATCCAAGGTGGCATCGTGCCGTTAAGTAAGTTAGAAGATAGGTCAAGTGAGCTAAGTTGTGTGAGGTTTCCAAGTGTCGATGGGATTTGTCCGCTAAGATTGTTAGAATTGAGGTCTAGAGAAGTAAGGTGAGATAGGTTCCCTAGGAAAGCTGGAATGGGACCAAAAAACTGATTCCTGGGAAGGTAGAGTGAGTGAAGTTGTGCGAGGTTTGCAAGTGATGTAGGGATTTGTCCTTTTAAATTGTTATGATAGAGGAATAGTACAGTAAGTTGAGATAAGTTTCCTATGGAAGTTGGAATGGAACCTTCCAAGTTATCGCCAAGAAATAGAACTTGTAATGACTTTAGATCTCCTATAGACTCTGGCAATCGCCTTCCCCAATCCATGACATATAATTGCAAATCTTGAAGAGGACTGCTCCAATTGGAACTTGGAAGATCAATAGTGATGTTTTCGATTCCGCCTAAATGAAATGTCTTGAGATTTGGAAAGCGGAAAATACTGTTTGGAAAGTTTCCTCGTAACTGACAATAAGCAAGACCAAGAGTAGTCAAAGAAGAAGAGAGATTCATGAAGAAACGAGGATTAACAGATGTCATGTTCACTCCACGAAGCACAAGTTCTCTCACCTCACTCAAGTTGTGAACAAGATTTCTAAAGGTAGTTGTTTCAAGGATCAAATCAGGAGAATCATCATAAAGGTGATTAGAGAGATTGAGAGAAACTAACTTGGGGAGGTGAGCAATTTCCCCCGGAACATGGCCCGAAAATCGAGAATAAGAGATATCAAGATGCTTTAGCCTAGTAAACTGATTGATTTTCGATGGAATCTTGGAAAGCCTAAAATCATTCAAGGCAAGATTGAGGCTCTGCAGGTTTCTGAGGAAGAAAAGAGTGCTGTTGGAAGGAAAGGTGCCATGAAGGAAACTGCAGCTAAGATTAAGGGCAATTACATGACCTGTTACATTATCACAGCTAACCCCATCCCAGGAACAACAGTCTATACCTTCCTTCCATGACTCAATCTTAGAATAATTAGGTTTAGTATAAGAAAGATCCACACAAAAATCTGGAGAAGGAACAGTGTAATTGATGGAAAAGGATGTCTTGAATTGCAGCAAAGCAAGAGCCTCCTCATGAGAGCAGAGATGTGTTGTTGAGAAGGAGGAAGCATGTAAAGAGGATGAGAAGGCAGTTTTAAGATAGAGGAAGAAAAAAAGGAGGCAAAGTAGCGTAGAGTGCATTATGAAGATCCCCAAATCTTTGTTCGGCAAAATAGGGCACTCAGGAAGGGTATATATAGAGTGTTCCAAATTGAGATATTCTAATAATTGAATATATTTCATCAAAAGAAAAATAAATGAATATAGAATGTAATATTAGACCACAGTGGATGTCATTTTCGAATCTACTTTCTGACTTCTCTCTTATTTGCTTTTTATGAAGTTAGATGGAGTAGTTAATGATTTTAATCACATTATTAATATGAAGTTAGATGGAGTAGTTATTTTTGGCTTCTTTATAAAAGTTCCAACATTGATTTTGCTACTTTTAGGAACAAATAATTTTCCACCAAATGTATTTCTTTTTCTCCAAA